CCCCCCCCTCCAGAACAACACACCAAAAAACATCAAAAAGCAAGAAACATACCAGCCAAGACTTGAGTACCACAACGACAAGAAGTCCAGCTACTAACATCTCTCCAAACCTTCGACCCTATCCCTAACAGTGTCCCTTTGAAATCCCTGACTTGCAACATGTGACAACTATGCTGGGCAGCTGTTTTTGTCTCTAACAACAGCAACAACAACAACCGCAACTGCACCTGCAATTGCAACCACAATCACAACAACCACCACAACCACAAGCACAACCACAACGACAACGATGATGACCATGACCCCGACCACCACCAACAACAACCGTGCCAACAAGGCATTCAAGCCCTCTGCGGGTGCAATCCTTGATGGAACAGAATGACCCCTTCATGAAAAAATAGACTGCCACCAGCAAGCAGGAGACCACAAGACTCAAGGAGGACACAAGACTCGAAGATAGATTCGCTCCTCTAGAAGTGCCTATAAGACCTTACCTCCTTGCCATCCTTTCTCGACAAACCACCCAACTGACCAAGCCCAATGTTTTTGTTGTCACCCAAACATCTTCAGTCCTTCTTCGCCTCAGTTTGGATCTTGAGGTGTTCCTGCAGAATGGCGCGTGATGTGAGGGATGTGGACTGTCACTGACCTAGACAGTGTCCACATGTGTCCACACACCTCAAAACGTCCAAATGGGTCTGTCAGGAGGAGACACCCTCAAACGCTGTGGTGGCTGTTGGCCTTTTTGAGATGAGCCTGTAGTCCAGTGACAACTGCGACAATCATTGGCAATCCATATGCAAGCAAGATATAAGAAATCAATTAATCAATGGTCCAACATGTCTGATCCTGATTCCCAAAATGTGAAGACTCCAACGATCCAACAAAACCTGAGTCTTCCCAACTCCCTTTGCTTCGTTCCCTTTTGTTCCCGCAACCCTTCTCAGCGTCTCAGCGCTTTGGCCAAGTCCGCGGGCGCGATCCACTTGCGGCCCAGCTCGAAGGAGACCTCCACGGATCCACTGGGAATCTTCTCCGTTGCCTCCGACGCCACGGCCAGCACCGAGCCGCTGCACCAGCGCTGCGCGCTGTTCGACCACACCAAGCACCGCTCCCCCGGCCACCAGGGAGGCTCCGCGTGCGCCGCGGGCGCGGCCGGTGGCTTCGGCGCCAGACGACCTTCTCCGCCCGGGGCCTCGGCGAGGAGGGCCGCGCGAAGGGTGGGGCGCTGGCGGAGCAAGGGCCGGAGCAGCACCAGGAGCTCCAAGTCGTTGAGCTCTTCCAATTGAGCCAAGCTGGGGCGCTGTCGCTCGTCTTGAGCACAAGAAGTTCCCTCTGGAAGCTCCTCCCCACAGGCGCTGGAGGGCACGGAGACTTTCCGCACCACGTTCAACACGGAGCCCTTCTGGATCCCGTAGTGCTCCAAGGTGAGCTCGGCACCATCGGGCAGCGAGGCCAAACCCAGTGCCGCTGACAGAGCTCCCGAGCTCCGGCGCTGTCGCCACGCGGGGGTCACGCGCTCCTCCAGCTGGGTGCCAGCGTAGATGAGTCGCTGCTCGGCGGCCGGGATCTTCAGAGCCTCTTCCACAAAGCGTCGAAGGCCCAGGATGGTGGTATTGGGCTCAACATCAAGCTCTGCACTCTCGCCATTCAGCGACCGGATGGTGATTTGCATGGCGAACAAGGTTTAAGTGCCTAAGTCTCACTCAGTGTCGTCCTGTGTTTGTTGTCTTTCAATTGAGAAGCAACCATATGCTTTCTTTCTTTTTGCCAAAGCCAATTGTTTGCAAGAGAATCAAGCAACAAACATGGGCCAACGATTCTGGATTCCCTCCTGGTCCATCGTCCGTGCTTTGATCGTTTCACACGGTGGATCCCTTAGAGCCCAGCTCGGTCGCTCAGACTCGACTCGACTGCTGACTCGGCGCTCCACGAACGGAGAGACGCCGTTGGCGCGGCGCCCGAGTCGTCCCGTCCTCGCTTGGCGCTTGACCTTGCCGCTTCGAGCTGTCTTAGTGTTTTTTGTTGTTTGGGTGAGCCTCAGCAACAGCCAGTTGCAGTTGCAAACTTCAAAAGCTGGGTGGACCAACTAGGAGCAAGAAGCCACTAGGAACAAAGGGCATCGCTACTAGGAGCAGACGCTACTATAGTAAGAATAAAGCCAGGAACAAGAAGCTATTAGTAACAAGTGCATCGCTAGTAGTAACAAGAAGCTACGAACGGGGCTCCTGGGCCTTACTTTCTTCCCAAAACGGCTCTGCGCTCGTCCATCCCCCCATGAGGCGCCGCCTTGCTCTTCGGTCACCTCCTCACTTCCATTGTGCAGCGACAGCCGGCGTCCTTGCGCAGGACGCGAATGGATATGAATGCCCAGGAGCCCCTAGTAGCGTCCTTGTTACTACTAGTAAGGCACCTGTTACTACTAGCGATGCACTTGTTACTAATAGCTTCTTGTATGGATTGCATCTGAACGTTCAACAGCTGGAAGGTCGGCCTGGACTAGCATGATCAAGCATGCTTTCTGCTAGAACGGTTCCAAAAGGCATCGACCAACACTAAGGTTAGAGCAAGACTGCGTTCTTGAGGTCCTGAATGTCACACAAAATACTTCTTGGAACAAACACCCTTGGTGCTCATTCAACCGATTCCCCGCTCTCCCCTCCACATGTGAAGCAAAGGTGCAGCCCGTCGACAGATGTTCGGATGATCTTCACTGAAGACCTTTGCTTTTAACTACACTTACTTAATTCTAATTTATTGTTTCTACTAGCTTCTTGTTTCTTGTTCCTAGTAGTAAGGCCAGGAGCCCCTAGTAGCGTCTTTGCTCCTAGTAGCGATGCCCTTTGTTCCTAGTAGCTTCTTGTTCCTAGTAGTAAGGCACTTGTTACTACTAGTAAGGCACTTTGCTCCGTTCGTAGCGAAAACCACGGCAAAACTCGAAACCAGCACCGCACACCTCGGTGGTGCCTGTGCCGGTGGGTCTCTTGGGCGAAGCCTAAGCCTCACACGACACCGGCCGATGCGCACGCCGCGGTGGTGCAGCGTGCGTCGTTTGGATTCGATTTTGGTTTGGAGGCCATCACTATTCGACAGAAAGAAAGGAAAAAAGGACTATACTCGGCCATTCGTTTGGTTGTTGTTGGTTGGTTGAGACCGTGTGCTCTCACAGGTGGTGGAATGTGGTCTCGGTTGTGCTAGTCCCTTAGCTGCCTTGTTTTGACCTTGGGTATATGGATGATGCTTGGTAAAGGCCTATGTGAAAAACATATGTTACTGGGACCCACCGTGACCCGAGTCGTCCTAGATCGAAAGCATCCCAAATACCACGTCTTTGGACCAGCTTTTCCTTGTTACTGTCCTACTTAAGGCCCACGGGCTGATAGCAGCCCAGCAGTACTCTTCTGAGGCGCCCAGCTACTGTGCAAACCTCAAGCTGGGTCATGCATCAACTGGACCAACCCCCACATAAGCCTCCACTACCAAGCTGAAAGTCAAAGTGATCCCTGCAAAGACTGCAAAGAGGTAACCAAGAGCTTCGCAAGACTCAAATCCTAGTGGAAGAAAAACAAGCTTGCCACTAGGGACAGCGAGTGCTCTTCACAGTGTTTCTCAAACGTGTTGACTTGTCCGATGTAGATTTCTAGTGCAACCAACCCTCTATAAACTTGACATAGGAGGGGAATGAAAGGTAGCACGGGAAATGGATAAATATTCGTGGCAGTCTCCTAAAAGTGAAGGATGAAGACGAGGATGGGATTAACAATGAGGATGGATCAGGATAAGGATCAGGAAGAGGACGCATCAACCTGCAAACACACTGGACAAGGGGGAGTTGCCCTTCCTTCCTGTTCATAGTCTTTCCTTACAGCCCCTAAGTCGGAGACAAATGTCACGCTCCGCAGAAAACATATTGTTGACTTTTTGACAAAGAAAGGGAGAATTCAGGTAGCTGAGGCTACATTTCGTGACGGGTGGACAAACATCTTCTGTTGCAACCAAACCTTTTCATGGCCGCCACGTACAACCGAGCACCTTCCACAAATGGCGCTGCTGAGCAATGCACTTTCTTCGTCATCGTCATCTGAACCTTCAAGCTTCGAGATCGACTGGATACTGTAGGGCAAGCAACTTCTGACCCCAATGCTTACTAGGAGCAAGAAGCTACTAGGGGCTCCTGGCATCTCTACTAGGAGCAAGGACGCCACTAGTCGACTGCTAATTTCGTTTATGTTGACTCCGAGTTTGGGCGAATTGGTCCGTGAAAACGACCACAGGCCCGGAAGGGGCATCTGGGAACGCTTGGCAGCTCTCGTGAACCCGATCGACTCGTGAGCCTCCTCCTTGAGCTTCACTCAAACGCCCTGGCGGTCCAGGTTTTTTTTTGCCAGTGGATGACATCAACCGAAAGGATTCTCCTTCTGAACCACCTGAATAGGCTTTCAATCCTTTCATATCCTGCAAAGAACAACGAACAACTTCACTGAACAAAACACACATGAAGATCGAACAGGACATGGAACAGGTAAGAATATGTAAGAACTCATTTGGTCGAATTTGGCCCAACTGGCCCAAATCGACCGACTCTAACATGAAAACGCGCCCCAGAAGCGTCCGTGGACCACGGGTCGTTGGTTCCACCTCGAAGCTCTTCATAGTCTTCTTCATCACGAGCGCCCTGGGCGATTCACGGAGCCGAAAAATGGACCTAAACGAGAACAAGAACACTGGGTGGAGGCCTCTATTCTACCAGCGATGGCCTCCAACCCACTAGAGATGGCTTCGAACCTGAGAGCGACGGCCTCCAACCTACTAGCGATGGGCAACTCAAAAATGGATGTGGGGTCACGACGGGATGATGGCGGTTGACTCTGGGTCAAACGAACAAATTCATCCATACAGGATGTCAACCTACCATCGGCAAGGTTTTGAGCTAAGGTGGAAACATTGAGTTCCAATCCAACTTCACTATGTTGCTGACTACATGGTCGGGTGCACGGGCATGCTATACGTGTTTTGGATTCGACCAACACAAATCCTATCACAAATTCCCTGAACTCATGGCTGCCCACGCTTGTCTGACGAAAACAACGATGGCTTTCTTGCTCATCCTTTCTCAATACCACAATACTACTGACTACTTGGTAACAAGAAGCTACTAGGAGCAAAGGGCATCGCTACTAGGGACAAGGACGCTACTAGGGGCTCCTGGCATCGCTACTAGGAGCAAATACCACATGAAGCCATGGGGCATCCAGTTTGCCTCTCCCATTGCCACCCCCCCTGGCCCACCTGCGAGAGCAATGGGATCAACAGCAGCAGGGCATGACCAAACCTGTCAACAACGAGGGACCAAGTCAAAGGTCGGGTGCTCCGATCGGAGCATACAAACCCATGGCCATCAGGCGAACCCAGTGTCCCTTCTCGTTGGGGTTCACCCCTACTCCCGTCCACTCCAAGCGTCCCGGCCACATGGAAGCATCTGGAAGACCACAAACACTAAGGGAGCTTGAGCCGAGAAGCATGACATTGCATCAGGTGGCACGGGCGCTCCGCCAAGTCACATGTTTATTTTTTTTTTTAAGATTAATTACAGTGGACGAAGACATGCTTGGCTTGCCGCTCCCGTGAAAGCACTGAAGCGGGCAAGCCCTTGCCTTTTTTGGTTTAGCTTCTTGTTAGTAGCAAGAATGCTCCTAGTAGCAATGCCAGGAGCCCCTAGTAGCATCCTTGCTCCTAGTAGCGATGCCCTTTGCTCCTTGTAGCTTTTGTGATGACTTGAGCCAAGCTTACATGGTTACTTACGTTAATCGTGGTTGACGTTAGATTGCTCCTCCGCCCGCTTTGGTCCGAATCCCGTCCACTCCTCCCTTCTCCCCCCTCCACCGCACCACATGTCGTGGTTGATCATCTGCTTTCTTGGCTTTACTACGTAGGAACAAGGACGCTACTAGGGGCTCCTGGCATCGCTACTAGGAGCAAGAAGCTACTAGGAGCAAAGGGCATCGCTACTAGGAGCAAGGACGCTACTGGGGGCTTTTGTCTTGACCTTTCCACGTTCTCATCTGTTTTCTTTCACCCTTGGTGGGGTGCACCCTTTCATCGCATCCCTTCACCGACAGGTTTCCATTGGGTTTGCTCGTAGCCTACGTTTACAAATCATGGTTTTCACCAACCACCGTTGACTCCAAACCGGTTTACACTAACCACAGTTTACAACAAACTCCAGCACTTGCTGATGCGTTTTGGCGGCACACGCCAGCGGCGGTGAAATATGACCAGAATCTCTCAGGACTGGGTGGACCAACTTTTTGCCCAAGGTTTGCCCAACTTTTTGGGACACGAATGTTAAACAACATGCTTTCGATGCGGCGCCTTTTTTGGACTCAAAGTTCCTTCCTTTCCCGTTGCCAAACGGACATCACCGTGGTGGCTCCATCTGGGTCGTCGGTGACCTGCGGTTGGGAGCAAAGAGGGGTGAAGACAGAATGCGGTTCCAGTAACAAGTGCCACGCTAGTAGTAACAGGTGCCTTACTAGTAGTAACAAGAAGCTTTTATTTTAACTTAAATCTAATTTAATTCTAATAGCTTCTTGTTACTACTAGTAACAAGTGCCACGCTAGTAGGAACAGTATGCCTTGTGGTGCCCTCCAACCTAGTAGCGATGGCCTCCAACCTGCTAGGAACAGGATGCCTTCTGGTGCCCTTCTATCCCTTTCAACACGCACCAACTTGAACCACCAACTTGGAACTACTCCTGTGATTTTCCCTGTTGGGCGTTTGACCTGGCGTTTGGCGTCTACTCCCGCCACTGAGTCGAACTCCGGCCCGATCTCATGCAAGTACCTCGAAAACGATCTCGTGCCAAGCGAATGATCTCCTCAAGGGCTGAAGCATGATGCACCTTGTTGCTAGTAGCTTCTTGCTCCTAGTAGTAAGGCCAGGAGCCCGTAGTAGCTTCTTGCTCCTAGTAGCGATGCCAGGAGCCCCTAATTGCGTCCCTTGCTACTGAAGCAAGAGTAACAAGAGAAGTTAATAGTCCTATAGCCATTCAGTTTACAGTCCTATAGGTCCTATAGTGCTTGCTCGCACGATGTGACTTACCATTCTGCAAAGCACAGCTGCATTCTGGTTGTGTTCTGGTTTCTGTGCATGACAAAATGGACGATCCAGACCCCCAAAACAGCAGATCAGCGATCCCACTCATCCCATGGGGGCGCATTTGGGCAGCATCATCATCAAAGATTGCCAAGACCTTGGCACATGTGGGCATTCTCCCAGAATCTCCCCAAATTCGTCGCAAAAAGCAGGAACCTAAGAGAGCAATAAAGAACCACTGACGAATTCTTAACATGCCCTCACGTAAAAATTCAGAGGAGCCAGCCTCTCCCAAGGAGGGACAAACCCTTGAGTTTCCCACCACCCCACGTGGGCGGAGCGCTTGACTCTTTAGGAGATCCTAGCGATGTGAAGCGGGATCAGCGGGATCTGACTCAAGCGGTGGGATCAGCTGACGAGTGTTTCATCCGCGAATTTTTCAATCCTTTTCATGACAAGGCTGACCAGGCTGTTCTCGTCCCATGTGGACCATGCAAACCATCCGGCTCTTCACCCATCCGGCTCTCCTGCACTTCTAGCACGCAGCCCTGCACATTTCGCCCTGGCACCAGCTTGAGAGTCCGGATTCTGGGATAAAGAAGGGTGAACATTTTCGGATCACTCCGACTCCACGGCATTCCACGGCTACACCTGCCAAGACCCTCTTTCGGACACGAGATTTCCGTGGCGTCTCGCCCACGACCCACGCGTCTCGCCTCCAAGAACGACCAAGTCAAAGGAGGGGAGATCGTAGCCCTGGCGCTGCCGACGACTCGGTCCCAAATGGTCGGTGGGTGCACCGCTACTAGTAACAAGGTGCATCGCTAGTAGTAGCTCCTCTCTCCTTTTGGTCCTTCGATCCATCACCAAAAGGAGACTCCAAAGGCACCCGAAAAGAGCCACTTACCAAAACACACCCAAACAGAAAGATCCGGAGGAACCTTTCGACCCAGTTTTTCCCACGTTCTGATCGACCTCCCCGGTTCACCGCGACAGGAGTGCCTCGCGGAGCGACTGCAACAGCTCCAGTAGCGTGGTCTCCTCTCCCGTCACCAGCGGTAGGTGCCTACCGCAGGTCAAACAAAATGCGAGGAGCCGTGAGGTGTGTTTTTTGGGGTGGTCTTTCTTGGGAGAATGCTCCGTCCGTGTTCCTTCCGGGCTCGCCTGACGTGCGACAAGTGCTCGCCCAAGGCATGCCGCACGAGCCGAGCACCTGCAGAGCTGAGAAGCGAAAGTGGAAAAGACCACTCTCCCCCCCTACCTAGAAGCGATCACCTCCAACCTAGAAAGCGATTGTGGTGGAGGGCGCCCTTTTCTCGCAAAAGAAAGGCAATCCACTCGTTACGAAATTGGGTTCTTTCATTGCGACACTCATCCGCGGATGACCTTAACTGTGCCTTTCAACATGAAAGGCACCCTGAAAAATATCATAGATCACCTCCTGGGAAATATGAGGATTGCATGATATTGCATGTGTGATCAAGAAATTGTTGCCATTGTCATGGATTAACCAAGTGGTTCTGGAATGTGCATGAGGCCAAAGTAGCCGGAAGAGTTCAATGCTTAAACATGCAAATGTTATTCTTGGAAGCGTTGTTTTTTTACCCTTCCTCCAACCATTATGGAACATAGGTCAAAAACAATCCTCCTCCACAGTTGCAGAATTCTGCTCAGCTTCCATGATTGTTTGTGAGAGGGTCTGCACCCTTACAAAACACATTGGGTTGCGACGCAGTCCCTTTTGCTGCACCCCCAAAAGTGGTCCCTTTCGCGTTGTACTGCAACGCTCCATTCGCGGCGGTCTGCGCGCCGTACGCGCCTGCGTCTGACACGTGAGGATCCTCTTCGATGCTCGCCACCTGAACTGCGTTGGCGGGGCTCGGCGAGCGGCTCCGGGCAAGAGGCGAGGAAGTGCCGTCTGTTGAAGTGTCTGGTTGTGAATCTGTGAAGGACAAGTTTGCATATGCCCGAATGATTCAATCGCAGCTTCAGAATGATTCAAACCGTCACCCAGTCCGGTCTTTTTCCTGTGTCACCAGTTTCGGCTGTTTGAATCCAACGGTCCTGGGGTGAACCTTCCCCCACACACGTGTCCGTGCACCCGTGCTCGCTCGTGTCTTCCCCCATCTCCGCAACAGGCGCGCGGAGATGGTGCGCCTCGTGAGGACCCTCCAGCTCTAATAGCTGCGGCAACGACCTGCGGATCCGAGATGTCGAAGATCGGGCGAATCGGGTCGCCTGTCGGGGTCGGTTCAAGGGCCAAGCTGCGGTGCCTCTGGAGGCGTTGTTGCATTCACCCCTTGTGCCACAATATGCTGCTTCAACACCAGGAATTCGGAAAGGCCCTAGCAGCGTCTCACTCATCTCCTCATCACTCACCTTCAGATGATGACACTCCATCTCAACCTCTGACTATGGCCTCCTTGTTAGTAGGATTGATACCATCGCTATTAGCTTGGAGGCCATCGCTCTTAGCTTGGAGGCAATCCCTTGTAGGTTGGAGGCCATTGCAATGCTATCGGGTGTAGAACGGTGTAGATACTCAATTAAGTACTCAACCTCTGGGTGGCCAACATCTGATTTTCTGGGTGCCAACATGTGCCATCTCCGGTCGACTCGACCACACTCGACCTTGGTGGTCCGGCGCCTAAGTTCAAACGTGGCCAGCCCGCTTTCCAGCACCAACACACGCAGCCTGCTCAGGGCAGAGAGGAATAACGTAGCGTCCTTGCTCCTAGTAGCGATGCCAGGAGCCCCTAGTAGCGTCTTGTTCCTAGTAGTGCATTTTGTTGGGGATTTCCATGATTGGAGTGGGTTCAAGTAAAACCCCCGCGGTTGTAGGCACCTCTTCTTGGCAGAAACCCTTTTACATGCTTTTTTGCGATGCGAGCTTCAGAATGCCTTAGGCATCTTCAGCTGCATGTGCGGCATGCCAAAGCCTTTAAAATCCTTAAAACCTGGCTGCCTCGTTCTCAAGGCGTCCAAAAAGGGGTTTGATGGATAGAGAGCTGGACAGGCGTTGGGCCAGCATGTGGGTTTTGTTCCGTAACCTCAAATGGATCTCCTCAGTCCACTCCTTGTGCCATCAACCCAAAACACTCAACATGTCCATCCCTCGTCCCTCGAAGCAGCCAGCCGAACGCTCCTCATGCGCTCCGCTTGGAAAAAACACGGCGCGGAAAGACGTGTGAGCCAAAATCTGATTTATGTGGTATCTGCTCACATGTGCAGTCCTGGAAGGGCATCTCGAAACACTCGTGACACCCACCGCCTCCACCTCCGGCGATCCGCTTCGGATGTGGCTTCTCGGGGGCGCTTGGAAGAAGCCGCTCCACCGGTGGAAGCGGTTTTGGACATCGACCTTCTCCACGGAGCGGAAACGTGCCGCTCAAAGGGCCACCCTGGTGCCCAGCAAAGGCCGAGCGGAGTTCTGCTCCACGATGAGGGAGAGCTCATGGGAAATCTTTGCCAGTGTGTCCCTCACCTGCAGGATCGGGAAACCACAGCAGCCAACCCCTGAAGAAAAACCCAAACGAACATCTTTCCCATGCTGCCATGCTACTAAACAGCACCCTCCGAGCCAACCCAAACCACTCACCCCTTTCACACCGATACACCCAAACAACACCCAAACAACAGCCATCAACACACCTACAGACTGACTCTATTTCTCTCTCTCTCTCTCTCCGACCGTTCTCCCCGTCTTTCACTCGCCCTGCTTCGCCGCCCTCTTCGCCTTCCCCGTCTGCGTCCGCAGCGCGAAGAGGTCCACGGCCTTCGCCGGGCCCCGGAGCTCCACGCAGCCGTTGAGGAACTCCTAGCGGTCTCCGCCGCGCGCGTCGAGCGAAGCGGTCGTATTCAACACGTGGTCGGACTGGGAGGAGGAGAACTGGGAGGAGGAGAGAGGACTATGATGGGAGGAGAGGAGGAGAGAACACATGGCTATTTTTCTTTACAGACCTTTTTGGAATTCAGAACCTCTCGTTCCTTTATCTTTCTTTTTGCAACGCTCCACATGACCAGCGAGGGCCAACAGGTCCCTTTGGAGTTCACTCACGCTGTTGGTGTGTGGTTGGACTTTTCGTGCCTGGCAATGCACCGCCAGCGTGGTGGGGGGACCTAACGCGCGGTGCGCACCGCGAAAAACCCTCCGTCCAACCGTCCGGGACCCCGAAGCTCGAGCGGACGCGTCGAGCTCCTCCAAGTTGATCTCAAAGTCCTGGCATCGACCGAGGGCTTGGACTGAGGGTGGCTTCGGCCAAAAAGACTAAGGGGGGGTTTGGACAGGGCTATGCTTCTATACCTTCTTCCATATCCATTACACAACCCTACCATCTCAAGAAAGTTTGGTTTGGATGAGGGACACGTCGTGCTAAACCACTCCAACTGGCCAGAAACCTTCAACATCAAATCAAACATATCACACATCAAACCACCGTTGTACACCATGGTCACGAGTAGCTCCAATTCAGGTGCGCCAAACCAAGTGTCGGCTGACGCACTCTGCACTCACCGACTTTGAGTGACCTCCACCCATCGCTACTAGGAGCATTTTTACTATTAGAAACAAGAAGCTACTAGGAACAAGTAGCTATTAGGAACAAGTGCATCGCTTCTAGTAACAAGTGCCTTACTATTTGTAACAAGAAGCTTTCTGCACCACACGGAACCTTCCCCGCGTCCCCCCCGGTCCTCGTCGTGGTCGATGGACTGGAACAAGGTCCACGCGTCCGACGCCTTGAGCTCCAGGGTCTCGAAGGTGGCGCGCACCTCGAACGTGAGAAAAGAACTGAGAAAAACACGTGAAAACACGCATTTGAATTAGAATGAAAACAAAGAAGCTACTAGGAACAAGTGCATCGCTTCTAGTAACAAGTGCCTTACTAGTAGTAACAAGGACGCTAGTAGTAACAAAGTAGTGAGTCTGGTCGGGTGAGATGGCGAACACACCGAGTCAGGTCGGAAGGTCACCCTGGCTGATGGAACCCAAAACACATCGAAACAGACCACAACAAAAAAACGGCAAAACCAACGGCACCTAAGAGCTACTAAGTTGGAGGCCATCTCTACTGGTTGGAGGGCACCGCTCCTCTGAAACAAACAGCACCTCTGTCTCATTGAAATGTTTCTCGAAGTCCGCCAGCGTGAGCTTCCCGTTGGAGTCGTCGTCCAAGCGTTGGAAGAGCTTCCGCAGCATCGCCTGTGCGGCACAGGCGAAGCTGGTGGCACAGCTGCCGCAGGCTCACTTCCCGTCTGTTTTGGACACCTCCATCCCTAAAACCAACTTTGAGCAGTTGCAGGTGTGCTTTGTTAGTGTCCCTGCCTTGATCTTCTCTGTGTCAAAGAACCTTTGCAGTGCATTCAAAAGACTCCCGAGTTCTGGTGACGTTTCGTGCAAAAAACCTCCTCACAGAAGATTCGACAAAACATCCCACACCACGGACAAATAAATTCCAATTTTTTCCCACTGTCACAGTTGGCTGTTGGACTGGGGCTGGACATGAATCAACTATTAAGAAACATCATGCTACCAAACTTGAGTGCATGGGCCCAAAAATTCATGTGCAGGGAAAATGGGAAGAAGAGAACCATGATCACTGCGCCAAAGAACATGTTCTGCACTGCCATCTCCTGATCCCTCTCCGCACCTTTGATCGCCGACTGGCCTTTGCGGTGGCTGCTTGACGCTGCGGACGTGTGGGTGATTGACAATGTGTGGAGAAACACGTAACGCACGGCTTAGAGGTTTACAAAAGAAAACGGAAAATATTGAAAAAACAAAACATGTTCATTGCAAATTTGATTGATTATTTTGCCTCATGACCTTGCGAATAGTGAGCAAAAACCCTCCAGTTCGAGGATGCCAAATAAAAACACCCATGTGTTTTGGAATTTGTTGCGGCTTTGTGAATGATAGGTGTAAAGCAATCGGAACAAACCGAAAGATGCACTAGGATAGTAAAGCTACAACAAAACCAAAACCAATTCACCAAACATTTGAATGTGGTGGCAAAAAAATCACAACGACGACAATCCCAACAAATTCCAACCGTCAAACATGTTTGCCAGCTACGCGTGCTAAACAAGTCACCAAATGGTGAGTGCGGTCGGTTGGAGTTTGTGTATCTGTGTTGCTGACAGGCATCAGAAAACCCCAGTCATCACGTTGAGGACCGCAAAACAACTGAACCTGAATCGATGCATTGTCGAAGTTGGCATTAGCTGGCGCCCGCAAATGGCAAGGACTGACGCCAAGAAAGTTTCTGTGGTACCGTGGCCCAGCAACAAGCATTAAAACAAACATCCAATTTGATTTGTGAACCTCGAAGTGCATATTTCGTGGCAAGCGCAGTACTTTGTGCACCTCTGCTCTCGATCTCAAGACCTTTAGATCGCATTCTGCACACGCGTGCTCTCAGATGTGTGTTCTGATGATTGTGCTGTGATATGTGTGCTCTCTAGACCTCGACCTCTGGATCTCCAGACCTCAAGCTCTAGCCTTGAGACTATGATTGTTGCTTCTAGGCCTTTATTGGTGCAGGCTTGACTCTGAGGTGTGTGCGTGTGAAATCGCACCTAAGAATCTACAAGTAGTTCCCGGGCAAGCCGGCGGCGGAAGTTTCCTATAAGAAGAAATTGACCTATAGGAGTGTCCACGTTCTCTCCAACATGCGCGTCCTCCAGTCAAACGCACGCGCTCCGGACTTGTATGATGAGTGATGTATGATGAGTCTTGTATGATGAGGGGTGTATGACGAGTGGTGAATGATGAGTGGTGTATGTTGAGTGGTGTATGATGAGTGGTGTATGACGAGTGGTGAAGAATCGAGAGACGATCTCCGCATCAGCAACAAAAGCCATGAGTTACTGGAAATTGTTCACACTAGCGCGCCCTAGTTTCGAACACCTGCGGCCAAGAGTATCCACAACCCACGCGCCTCTGCTTTTTTCTGGGAGACTGCTCACGCGGCCCACATCGGCGCGCGTGCTTTCGTGGTTCGACTGTCTTCCACGCATTGCAAGGAACCACGCGGCAACAGCAGTCGCCGATTACATGTCCGCGCGGTTCCCGTCGGTGCGCGCCAAGAGCTCTGTCACATCAGCTATACATTTTCCAGTAACATCGTCGGGGTGACGTCCGAGATGACGCAGCAGAGTGTCGGTGTCGTAGGTTCCATCAGTTCGGAATGGCATCTCCTCAACCTTGATGCGAACTGGAGGATCCAGTCTGTGAAAGCCAGTCTCCAGATTCACTCCGCTAAATTCCACCCACCCGTCATCGGACCGTACCGGTGCCTCCGAGTACACGAGCTCGCGGCCGTGAGTGCAAGACTTGCATAGCAGTTTTTCCGTGTCACATGCAGTGCAGATTGCGTCGGCCGGTCGGATGGAACATGTTTCACACCAACTGTGTGTCCAACGCCCGCACTGATCGCACGGTGCCGCACCTAAACGGCGCCCTTCTTGCTCGGAACTATAGGTGGCAACAGCATACGCCTCGCGGGCTCCCGGCACAGAGACTCGTTGACCCCACGTCAATTCCAGAGCCACCACTCGATGGTGAGCGCGTAAAAAGTCAGCAGCCTTGTGTTTCCACCTGGGCCAGTCATACACTGCGAGTGCCATGGCCGCACGGTAAAGGCAGTCTGTGGTCTATTGGGTACGATGACTATACACCCAAACAAACCTGGGTAT